ATGGAACCTAGAAACCCAGAAATGACACAAACCAATATGCTTTAAAGCTGAATGACTTCCAAGGTGCTCGACTGGTGAAACCTTCTGTCTTTCTTACAGGGAGCTGATCTTGAGCCTTGCGGTGATTCTGTATCCTGTACTTCAGTCCCATCTGCAACACCTTCCTCTAAAAACAGACGTAGATGCACCTCAGCAGCCGGCACTTTAAGCAGAAACAGACGGAGAAAACCAGCACCAGACAGCAGTGAGCGTCTCTCCTGGCTGGACCTTCCCAGACAGGACGGAGCCAGCGGTGCTCTGTCCGTCCCTCGGCTCCATGTCGAAGATAAAAGAGAAGGTGGTGCCATCCAAGGTAAACACCTGCAGACTCCTCTGGTCACCATGGCTACTGCTGCTGCTTTAACTCACTGACTTACTTACTCACTTACTTACTCACTTCCTCCTGCCTTCAGAGAAGCCACCTGATGAGATGGAGTGCCTCTACAACCACCTAAAAGCAGCCAGCTTGTCTCCGACTGGACAGTCCAATCAGAGGGACTTCAGAGCTTCGTTCATCCGACGATGTCAGAACGACCAAGTCAACGAAAAGCTTCACCTGCTGCGAATCCTGAGCAGCACATTAAAGGTCAGTCCCACTTTTGTCTTATCTTGATGCTAAAAACAAACCAGATGGGATCAGACCAGGACATGCTTCTGGCAAGGAGGAGAAAATTCACCTCTTGTAACTAATTATCAATTGTTGAAGTGACATTCACTCAAGTATTGTACCTGAAGCTTTTGTCTCCTCCTTTTGACAGTGACAGTAATTACACAAGAGTCCAACAAAACTAAAACGCCAGCGCTACACATCTACGCAAAATACAGTTAAAAATGTACAGGAACGGGATTGAAACGTTGTTTGTGCTCAAACAGCCTCAGTTCTGAGTGTCATGGATTCCACAAGATGTCGGAAATGTTCATTAAAGGTCACTGCTGTCTGGTTTTGTACATGTTGTGAGGGCAAGACAAGGAAGACAAGAAGAAGACTAACAAAGATTTGTTGCGCTGTTATCATAATCGTTATTGTTGTTTTTTTTCTTTCTTTTGTCTCTCGTGTCTCTAGGTGAGGGTAGCTTAAAATGATAAGCACTTAGGGTGGGCATATGTACACATTTTGCTTTGGCCTATGCCTTTTCAGTCACTATCTTGTTTGTACTGTATGAACTGTTTATAATTTTTTGTATCGTAAGATGACTGAATAGATTCACAGTAAATTCATGATTACATTCTCTCCCTGTGTGCTCAGCCTGTTAAAGTCAATGTATGTTTCAACCCCTCTTCAGGCTAAAGAGTCGGAGCTGCTGGCGGTGGAGCAGATCCTCGGTGACGCCACCCTCACGGCGCCCACGTACAGGAAGTGGAGACTGTCCAACTTGGTCCTGCTGCAGGACATGAGTGGACACAAGCAGCAGGCAGCAGGAGGCTCCGAGCTCCGGGCCCAGGACGGAGTGTGAGCAGAGACCACGGCCCAGTTCACAGCAGGGAGGCATCTGACAAACACTGTTTTACATCGCTGTGGTCCAAAGTCTGTCGGTGACCACAAACCGTACAGCCCTGTTCCTGACCAGGAGAGATGCTGGACAGAAAGCAGGCTCATGTGTCGGGTCAGGCAGCGGTGCTGTGTGTGTTCTGAAGGGGAGCTTGTTTGTTTTTAATGCTTTTCCTTTCATTTCATTTGGATTCAGAGATGCAACCTCCACCGTTACTCCTTCACTGGTGCCTTCTCTTTCAACACCATATGTCCCTCTGGAGGAGGATGTTTTTGATGGAAATACTGGTTCAGTGTGGATGGAGGCTAAAATCCACTCATCTATTTTACATTTTTCAATCTGCACTTCCCACAAGATGGAATCTGTACTGTGGCTGTCTCTTATCAGGATCTTATAGCGGTTATTGCTGTATGTGTTTTAAACGTTTTGCAGGAAAACATTGTCGGAGTGGCACAAGCTGCCCCATCCATGGAGCT